GTCTTATATAGCCCTTCGGGCTGAAAAAGGACGTTAAACTAGAATAATAATAATAATAATAATATAAGTAGTGTCAGGCCCGTCAACATCACGTGAGACACCAGATCCTCTCATGAACGTGTTCTTAATCACTGTATATTATAATATTTTTTTTTCTCCTTTTTGCGCGAATTCAAGTCAGATCACACACATGAATCATATAGCTTAAAATTTCGACAAGCTCCTTTCACCTGTCAGCTTCACAAATAATCAATCATTTAATAGAAGTAACAACAATCCATCGCGATTTACAGGGGAAACCAAACCGAAATCAGACCACCACCCGCCTAAATGCTAATGGCTGAATAGCTGTTTGACGGCAGATAGAGTGGCTGAGACAAGGGTCCCTCCCCCCCCTGTTGCCAACTGATCTTATTACAGCTACAAATCATACGGCCCAAAATCCTTCTAGTCTATATATATCATAATGTCCCCTACTATGACCCTTGTCCTCACGTAATATTTTAGCGCCCACATACGCCATGTAAAATAAAAAAACACCGACTGCCAAGCATGTGTGTGTGTGTGTGTGGGAGAATTCTCCACATCCACTTTTTTTCCCCCCACGATGCTTGGTATTGCTTTTTTATGCTTAGCTTGGATCATAAGTAGGGGGGGGGGTTTCAGATAGTCCCCTGTACAAAAAAAGGGGACACTTTCCAGGACTAGCGAAACCCGACTACCTGGAAATACGTAGTATATATGTACCGTGAGCTCTAGCTGGGATAGGACATCACGCTATTAGCCAGTTGATAAGTTACAGCAGCTATCCTTTTATTGGGCAATCTGTAATATACTAGTCTATTTCCTTGACTTGCTATTTGTTGTGTTGGATAGAGAGCTACTTGATAAAGCGCTAAGTAGCGTATTCTATCAGCTAATCTCATCAACCACTACATTTGGCGCTAGACAGGCGTCCCCGTCTTAGCTGGAGCTCACTGCGGGACAAAGGCGTGTGTGCACGTATAATATTCCCTTTTGCTTTTTCCGCAGTTGCTCCATGGAGCTAGCAAGTTAGCTGATTCAATGCCGCATCGACATGTACACATCACACCATGCATGGCCCATGTATGTGGAGTGGTGACAGGCATTGGCGAGGATACGAGGTGCTTATGTACGACTAGAACCCACATGAAATGCTTGATATGTTGATATATATGTGTGTATGGTATATATGTATGTACGTATTCCATGCCTATTTCCCTTGTTTCCATTGTACAGGAAAGTGAACCCGCTAGAAGCAACATCCAGACCCATGCTGCATGAAACGGAAGGATGCTATTCTATAGCCCGATGCAGTTTTTGAAGAGCAAATTTATCCACAGCTTTCATCCCCCCTGCCAAGTGATAGTAGGACTGTTGTAGCGTTGGAAAATCTGACCACTTAGAGGTCACGTATCCAGTCTTTCAGACTAGCAATGCTCGATCGTCGCCTTCTCCTCGAACCACTTCCATCGCTTGAGACATCGAAGCTTCTTCTGCCGCTATCCACACTCCGCCGCCCCTTGCTCTCTGTGTCAAGGACCACGACTAGAACCGTGCAGTTGTCTGCACCCTTTGATTTGCCTTCTCTTTGCGTCAACTTGTCCGCGATTTCCTTGGCGTCGTTGCCCTGCTGCCACCAGTCTACAGCTAACCGTGTGGCGTCTTCGGCTTCATTTGTTCCGCCCACACCATCAGATGCCAGCAGGACCAGGGACTGGCCTTTGAGAGTCCGTACGGCGAAATGTGCTTTGTTAGAGACAAGGTCATGTTTTGCAGACCTTCCTGGAGCAAGGCCAGTTTCAACTCCCGCAAGATCTGAAAGGTCGTGACCCGCCAGACGGTTTACCCGCGGCTTCTTCAGATGTAAATCGCCGAGAGCGCGGGGCGCGTTTTTAGTCATGCTGCACCCGAGGGGGGTTGGTTGATGTGCTGTCGACGTCGAGGGCGATGCCGTAGCTGGTGGAGGCTGAGCATCCCGAGGCCGCTGGTTCAGTGCCGTATTGGCATTGGTATCGTCGTGCCGTCCCCGGGCCAGGACCAGTGCCAGCACCAGCACCCGTGGCAGCGTGAATGTGTGGGCAGGCGGACGCGAGGGTGATTGGCTCCGTGGAATCGCCAGGGCATAAATGCATGCATGACGTCGTAGCGGCCGTGTCGCAAATCGCGCGCCGCGCCCAGTTGCCACAGCCGCAACTGCTGGGCATGCCTTGGCAAATGACGACGTGAAGGCCTGTCTGTAAAAGCAAATGCGAGCCCTCTCCTGGCCGCCTGCACCGCCAAAAGCATCCCGCAAAAAGCAACTTGGTCTCGTCTAGTATTACAGTACATACACCATGGGCGTCAACATCATCGACGTCGGCGTCAGCAGGGTGCGCACCATGCTCCTTGCGCACACGAGTTTGGCCGAGCCGCCTCGCTAACGTCTCCACAGATATCAGGTGCTCGCGAGTACCAGGAGGACCGCTATGTGACTCTGCTCCCCGGCTCCCTCAAGTCGCGAAAGGAGCTTGCTATCTTTGCTGTATATGACGGACAGTAAGCACAACGTGGAATAGGGACCGATTGCCGCCCTCAGGCTGACCACGTTCCCCAATAGTGGAGGCGCCGACGTCGTGAACCATGTTGCCCAGCATCTCCATACTCACTTGGAACAACACTTTACAAATCCAAAGGCCGCTAATGCTACCGAGTACAAGCACGCCATCCAATGCGCCCTGCGTGCCGTGGATCGTGAACTTTCGCGCGCCGACCTGGACGGCGGCTCAACAGTGACCCTAGTCCTCGTCGATACCAAGCAGAATCTCCTCGTGCAGGCAAATCTCGGCGACAGCCATTGCTACTTTGCCGACCATGATGCTCAATCTCCCCAGTCCTTGTCTCCTCACTCGCCTACACGGAATAATTCAACCACAAGCCAGGCCGGCTGGAACGTCGAGCCACTCAGCGTAGAACACACACCAGACAGCCCCTTGGAGAAGCGGAGGATCGAAGAATCCGGCGGTGAAATCAACTACACATCTGGCATCGCCCGTATTGGTGGTGTGAGCATGTCATGGCATGGGCACGTGATGCGCTCATTTCCATGCCCCCCCACCACCATGGACCCTGTCAGCGTCTCTCTACCATCGACACAGATACATGTCGCCTTTCCCCCCCAACAAACCCATTCGTTATGTCATGGCGCCTATCCAGCCCCCGCTGTAGGCACTCAGTTGGAAGAGACACGCCCTCTGGAGCCCGTGTGGGTGCGCCCTCACCCCCAACCGCCATGGAACTCTCCATGCCTATGCGAAACAAGTTCCGCGACCCGTGGGGTGGAATAAATGTCGCAACCGCTCTGCACTGCCTCAAACACTAGGTAAACACATGCAGAGACACCTGTCTTGGGGCCTCCCGGCACATCCCAGCTTGGCCTTGCCTACCGCTCTCTTCTCTCGGTTCCCTGCGGCATTAATGTAAATGGAGCAACGTCGTGTGACGCTGCGAAGACTGTTGGACCTCATTAGATAATGCGAATCCTCTACATGTTGCACTTTTGCATCCAGACTCGTCAAGACCGCCATGCGTTGGGACTGGCGGTGTCGGTACAGCTTCGAAGTCTGAAGTTTGATAAACTTGAACAATGTTATCCTTTTCATATATTGTTTTTGTGTACACTTATTCAAGAATTATTTCTCAAAAGATGTGGAGGCGCAGTAAGCTTTATTATCGTCACCCTCATTTTTTTTACCTCCACATACACGTTTTGCGCTCTTTTATTTCCTAATCAAGCTTACCTACCAACACCTGGCTAAAGACTCTATTTGTTAAACATGACCAAAATTATCAAAGACGTAATTGATTGCAACTTTGAATAACCATTTTTTTTAAAGTTCCGGAACATACAAAGCACGCAGCGGAATACAACACCCGCCAGACCCCGCACCCGTCCAGCCTACACCGCCTCATCTTAGCACACATAGAATATACAGCTGCCTGAAATCGGTAGTCAGGCTCACTAGCAATTCATTTCGTCAATACGAGTACCACCTGCTCGACTGCTGCCTGTTCCATACTAACATCCGCATATAGCCTCACAGTACCTCGTGCGGATTACCGAATTTAGTATATTATTACATCATCAAACGCATATCGCGCCGTCTAGTCGTCCAAAGGACATGTCTTTTTGAGCGTCATTTACACCCTCAGCCTTTGCTTGGTTTGGACATCTTTGTCCCGTGGTAAGAGGCCCGCCTTAAAACGATCGGCATGGCGAAATGCCTCAGGCCTCAGACCCTGTGGACAACGCCACTGGTCATCCATTCTCTTCTCAGCACATCCCACACCCCATTTCCCCTGAAGCCCCATGCCCACTTCTCCATGCGCAAATCCTCCAGCTTCTTCTTCAGCGCGTGCTCATGTGCCTTGTTACCGCCTCTGCGCTCAATCTCATGGAGCAGCTCCGTACATGCAATCTCCTCGCTCATACATGCAACTATTGCAAGGAGGCACTCTTCTGGGTCCAGACCAAAGCCGTATACAAGTTCACGGCAAACCTCTAGGCTCCTCCGGTCCTTGTTGACATGATTTGTCAAGCCACGGGGCACAGATGGGTACTTAACGCCTTCCACTTGGACGCGACACAGTGGACAGGTCCGATACGGGTACTTGGCTTCGTCAATTTTTGGCGTCATCAACCACTGCTCTAGACACGCCTTTCCAACGATATGGCCACAGTACTTTATGCGTACAGGATAGTCGGCAACAAGTTCGTCGATGGAGAATTCGGAAAAGGCGCTGTAAGAGTTCTGGCAGATGGGGCAATACCCGGAGTCACCGTCAATGGCTCCAGTACCGTTTCCGGGGCCGGCAGTGTGTGACAAAGGTATAGCGCATGCGAACTGGTCGATCAGAATCGACTCCACCCTTTCTGAAATCTTCTCAAGCGTATGCAGAAATTTGCTTTCAATTTCTGCCCTCCGCTGCAGGCGCTCGCTATGTGTTTTAGCGATGCTGCTAATATCGCTGAGATTCTTGGCAAGATTGAGATGGAGTACGATCATGAATGCCGCTTGTAAGCGGTCTTTGGGTGAAGGCAGCTCATGGTCTGTAAGAGCCATGTAAAGTCTTTCTTTCTCTGTCCAGTTCTGTTGTTGACCTCGCATTTGCTTCCCCACAGCAAGCGTGAAGGTACCCAGGTCTTGTTGAGGCATCATGACCCTATTGTGATACTCGAGGATGCCAAACAGCCACTTCTGCGCGGCCTGGGCTTCTTGAACCGTGTCTTCATCAGTCATATTCGCGAGCCTCAATCCATGCGCTCTATGGGGAAAGCATTGTCTCTCGAGGTTGCGGAGTTGTGTAGTCGATGTCCAAAGCATGCCCTCTGTCTTATTGTTTTCTTGTGTAAACTTGCGCATGTCGTGAAGATTTCGCATTCGCAGGAGCGCCTGATGATGTACTAGAACGTATTAGAATGCATCATTTGACAGGTTATAATGCGCTTACCTTCTTCTCGTGGTGGTACGTGACCAGTTTGCGCACTGGAGTCATTCGATAGGTTGGACATGACTGCACGAGAAAAGAATGCGTTGTGACTTGATAATGTTGAACGAATGATGTAGGGTGAGAAGGTTTCGGGCCAGCTCGGTATATGCAACTGTTTGTTTGCTCTTGCCTTGAGCAGGGGCGAGTGGGGCAGTCTGTTTGTCCCCCCCACGTGACTGCTTCACGGTTTGAAGTGAGGCGTTAAAGTGAAGGTTGCATTCAACTGTGTGAGATTGTCTCAACACAATGATGCTTGCCAATACCGGAGAAATGGCAGTGAATCGGTGCGTATAATAAGTTGATTAGTATCTTACGGGCCTCTCAGATACCCGATGCTACAGAGCACAGTACGCGTAGGAAGTACATAGCAATTCCCTTTAGGGGACTTGAATGTAAATTATCCACTGCTTAGAGCTTGGAGAGACTGTAGGGACGGTTTTTGGTCAGTAAATTGGCACCAAAGGACAGCACAGCCTCAACAGCGGACTGACGATTCTGATAGGCAGCTGCGGTAGCGATACCTGTAGTGGTGGGACATAGTGGCATTAGGAAGTGGTAGGAAGTGGAAGCAGCTTACATACTCCAAGACCAGAGGACAGGCGCGAAGGATCAGACTTGAGACGCCGTGCCGCAACCCTCCCAACCGCACCACAGCCACGTGGCCTGCAGAGTGATGACTATGGCTTGGCGCCACCAGCCACTGATCAAGGTACTCCTTGTCAGGACTGATCCCTGACCGGGACCACACGAAGCAAAATTTCATCTCATAGGGAATAAACCCTTGTAATTAACAGTGTTTCGCTCAATAGCCAAGCCTAAAAGTACCTTCTCCTTTACCAAACACGACGCACTGTACTTGTCAAACATCTGTTCTATAGCACCCTGTCCCTTACCCGCCAAACCAATCCCCTCAGCATTATCAACAGGGGCCTTATATGATACACACTCAAGATTTTTAACACAGACTTGACGACTCTGCAGCTGAAGATGCAAAAGATCCCAGATTGTCTTAGATCATAGGCAGATATGGAATGTGTCTGAGATGTCAACTCCTGTATCTTCACAGACTTCTCTTTCACCCTCTCGTGCTGTTAATGTGAACATCCTCCTTTTCTTTAATAACAATACATACGATGATGAAGATAGCTAATAAAAAGAAACCAAGTCCTCTATCCCTGCTTAAGATGAGGTTGGTCAACGTGCTTATGTACTTTTCTTTAAGCCATACGCGGCATGTAATTCATTTTATAAGTACTCAATTTAAGAAAGCATTTTCCATGCTAAGTACTCGGTGTGGTGTGAGGGCCTTCCTTCGACTGCACAAGCAGGATCAAGTATCCTGATAAGCTACGTGCATATGCCTTCTCAACTGAACCAACCTCATAACAACAATTCTTAACAGATGATTTCCCAATATAACACCTACGAATGCGCTGCGCGCATAGACAGGTGATGCGTGTGGTACTCAGGACAGAAAGGGACTAGCGTTTGGGGGGCTTGGCACGCGGAAACAGCCGCCCGTACTCTGGCATCAGCGAGACGCGACAGGACGTGGAAACTGATACCCCTCGTTGCCCTTTCGTCGCGAATAATGATCCGATAGCCTTCTCTTTTTGCTCTCCTATCTGCGGCACCTCGGATCTCACACAATGGCGTCTGCCGTCTTCTTTCTCGACCTCAAGGGCAAGGTAGGGCCGCCACAGCCATAGGGACGCTGCGTACTGACGAGTGCATAGACCCTTCTGGCGCGCAACTACCGGGGAGACATTCCCATGTCAGCGGTTGAAAAGTTTCCTGTCCTGCTCAGCGAGGCCGAAGACGAGAGCTCCGCCGTCCCCCCATGCTTCTCCAGCGAAGGCATCAACTACCTCTACATCCGCCACAACAACCTTTACCTGCTTGCTCTCACCAAACGAAACACCAATGCCGCCGAAATTCTCCTGTTCCTGCACAAAGTGGTCGAGGTCTTTACAGAGTACTTCAAGGAACTTGAGGAGGAGAGTATAAGGGACAATTTCGTCGTTATCTACGAGCTGCTGGATGAAATGATGGACTTTGGATACCCGCAGACAACGGAAACCAAAATCTTACAAGAGTATGGCCCTCGGAGTTGCAGTCACACACCGGTATACTTATACAATGTGCGCGCAGGTACATTACGCAGGAATCGCACAAGCTCGAAGTCCAAGCACGGCCGCCTATCGCAGTCACAAACGCCGTCAGCTGGCGAAGCGAAGGCATCCGATACCGCAAAAACGAAGTGTTCCTCGACGTTATCGAATCGCTCAACCTGCTTGTTTCTGCGACGGGCAGCGTCCTGCGGTCTGAGATTCTAGGTGCTGTCAAGATGAAGTGTTATCTCTCAGGTATGCCTGAGCTGCGACTGGGATTGAACGACAAGGCTATGTTTGAGACGACAGGAAGAGCCACACGGGGGAAGGCCGTCGAGATGGAGGACGTTAAATTCCACCAATGCGTGCGATTATCGAGATTCGAAAACGACCGAACAATTAGCTTCATTCCACCCGATGGCGAATTTGAGTTGATGAGCTACCGCTTGAACACACAGGTCAAGCCTCTCATCTGGGTCGAGTGCATAGTAGAGAGCCATTCAGGCAGCAGGATAGAGTACATGTTGAAGGTAGATGTGGCCACCTGTACTCGCGACGACGCCAAACTAACGCTTCACAGGCACGAGCACAGTTTAAGCGACGAAGCACAGCAAACAACGTCCAAATCTCGATACCCGTTCCAGAGGATGCAGACACGCCACGATTCCGGACCAACATTGGTACCGTACACTATGCGCCTGAGACGTCGTCGATAGTGTGGAAGATTAAGCAATTCGGCGGCGGCAAGGAGTTCCTCATGCGCGCTGAGTTGGGATTGCCATCTGTGCGCGGTGACGATGAGAAAGGCGGTGGTATGATGGGAGGCTTTGGTGGCAGCATGGGTGGCGTTGGGGCTGGAAAGGCGAAGAGGCCTATCAACGTCAAGTTTGAGATTCCATACTTCACCACGTCGGGTATTCAAGTGCGGTATCTGAAGATTATCGAACCAAAGGTCAGTGCATGTGGGAGTTGTTCTTACAGATTGATTGCTGACGTTGGCACAGCTGCAATACCCATCATTGCCATGGGTGCGCTACATCACACAGTCAGGCGACATTGCTGTGCGATTACCGGATGTGAACTAGAAGCTGGGCCGTTGGGCGGAGAGGAAGAGAATACCAACATGTTGGAGCGTGACAGGCTGGTGTGCTCCGAGTCGATATGCATTATGACGGCATTTGCGAAGGGCTCGACTGTAGTTCACGCATTCCAAACAAGCAATTCACTCGGATCGTGCCGAATACATGCCTGCACTCGATGCGATGCACATGTACCAAGCTTTCCCACGTCGGTATCATAGGCACAGTAGGTGTACACCGGAATGCAGGTCAGCACATGGATGCGTTGTTTCATGGTCTATTCATGTCTGCAAGAATCCGAGCCTAGACCCGCGTTCCACTTGATACATGTCTTTTTAAATTTGACTGACCTGCATCCTACACAGGCCGCGTAATGGATGCTAGCACTCGTCAGCTGCACGAGCTGCAAGGCCACCGGCAGGGACTCAGGCGCAGGGCACTTGGGGTGAATTTGATTATGTCAGCGTTGTGTCGGCAATTTATCCACCGATGTCTCCGACCGATCGGCGGCCGGGATTCCTACAATGGGCATCCATGAGCACACTTGGTTCACGACTCCACGTCGACTCGACCGTTGTCAGGAACACAATGGCCAAAAAGCAACAAATCGCCAAACAGAACAAGCGAGCGTTTAACTAGGGACGCTGACTCGAGTAGCGAAGATGACGACTGGCACGCACAAACCGGTGTGACACGGCAGCGTCGTCTTTGTTGTCCTCCCGTGTTTTCTCCCCGCTCTCATTCTCCGAAGCATACTCTGCACGCCACGGATTCCGTTTCCAGCACCAGCGTCTCGATGCGATACCAACAGACCCAATCAGGGCCTTGTTTCCAGCTTCCCTTAGCCCAATCAAGCAACTGGCCAAGGCGTCATGGCACGCTGTCGCAAATCGTCACACTACACCGGCAGACGCATAGGGCTGATGTTTTGTCCTGCAGGGCCAACAAACGCCAATGAGCTTGTGCATTTGTCTGCGCCCGCAGCCCCATTGCCGAGACTGTCTACGCAAGTTATCCGGGAACGCGTAAGCATGTAAGCAGGAAGAGCCATCTCCCCTTCTCTTTTCTCTTTCTGTCTTGAGCGCGCGAGCTTTCTCACCTCCAGACACGACTGGCTGGTGATCTTGACCCAGCTCAGCTAAGCTAAGCCCCGCGGGACCCCTCCGGACATGGTCTCGCGACGAGGCATAGTGTACGCCACAAAGGCGTGCCATGGGTCCAAAGGCCGCGTATGTCGCGCATCGAGGGTATTTGAAGGCGGACGTGTCGCGTCTATTCGAGCCGTTGTGCTTATTGCTCCCACATTTATACATATATACCCCATCGCCAAGGCTGAGGAACGTTGTTTCTTTAACCCGCAGCCCCCAGCGACAATCAAGTCGTCAACAAGACGGAAAATCCAAAAAGCCTGTGAATTTTTTTTTTGCTGAAAGAAAAAAGAAAGCCAAGTCAAGATGCGGTTTACCCTCGCAACTGTAGCCGCGCTTGTGGCCCCCATCATCGCAGACACCATTACGCCAGCACCTACAACAACATCAGACGGGTGGTTTGATGGCGTGCCTCCGTGGGCGACTAGCGACCCCGCAAAGTGGTCGTCCATTTACAACTCGCTGCTTTCCGAGGGCAAGATCCCATCGACGTTGACAGCAGTCCCATGGCCAACCGGCAGCTATGGGCCTGGCCAAGGACCCTGGGGTCCAGGACACGGCCCTGGAGGAGGACCAGGTCACTGGGGAGGTACGTTGAATATTTCCATCTATCCATCCATGTTCTTTTTCTTTGCCTGCATACACACCATTATTCCCCACATACCCATACCCATATCCATGCACCCATGCCCCAGAAGAAAAAAAAGCAAGCCCAATTCCCCAAACTATATATCCACAAACTAATTTCCCACACCGACAGGCCCCTCCGGCCCAGGTCCCTGGGGCCCCTCCAACTACGGCCCCTTCAGCGAGTGGTCGACGCGCTCCGACTGGCGCTCCGGGCCGTGGACCGCATGGTGGGATGGATCCAAATGCCCAGCGTCGGACTGGCCGGGCTGGACCGCAGGACCCTGGAGCACCGCCCCGCCGTGGACCAGCTGGGCGGGCTGTACCGCCAGCACCACGGCTACCAGCGTCGTCACAACCACTGTTAGCGGTGTCGTGGCCACGTCTACAACCTACGGATTGCAGGTTGCCGCGGCCGCGGCCGAGGAAGGAAGTGGCAGTGCGAGTGGCAGTGCGACGCCGCAAGCTACCGGGACGAGGGCCGCTGCGGGTCGCGTTGAGGTGGGCTTGGGTGTTGTGGTTGGAGCGGCGGTTTTGGGTCTTGCGGCGTTGTAGTAGCGAGAAAATGCGATATACATTGCAGGTTCTGTGCAAGTATTGCTAGATGAACGAAGAAAGGGGGTTTGAGCAGGGGGTGATCTTTGATTTTTTTTAATGAGATACTATATGAATGCATGAATGAATGAATGAATCAAGTTGATGGCTTGGGGATAGACAAACCTGGTACGGGGGACTATTGATCAGCTTGTTATGACTCGAATAATGATGATGCAAGGATTCTTTCGTCGCCTTGTTTTCTCTTTTATTGGAGCAAGCCTCGCTTTGACATGGCTTGCATGGGTCCAGGTTAAAAGAAAGGGGTATATTAACCCAACAGTTTGGGGAAGCAAGGAAAACTGCTCCACATGCAACCGCCAGACGGATTTGCTCACTTTACTTTTGCAAAGCAGTCCTTCAATGAGACATCGAATCCAATCTGGTTCTGTGACATGTAAACCACGTCTAAACATAAGTGTCGATTAAAATAATAGCAACTGGTATCCTGCTGACATGTTCCTCATCATGTCCAAAACATCACAAAATGAAAACTCTGATCCATAACCTGGCCCCACAGATGTCTCACAAGATGCGATTCATCTTTGCCTTCCACCCCATCTTCTCATTGCTGCCGTTTTCGCCTCCACTCTCCAAGCTGACGCCTTCGTCGACAACACCGCTCTCATCGTAAATCTCGTCCGGGTACACGGGCCTCTCGATGAACGTCTCAGTCGGGGGCGCAATCACCATTTCCAGCAGAAGATAGACGAGTGACGTGGATACGAAACCCAACAGCCATCCAAAAGTATATGGTCTTGAGCCAACGCCCACGTCAATGCTTTTGTTAATTGAGTGGATGAAGCCCGGCATGTTGGGGGCAACTCCAATGAGGAAGGCGACAATGGCGCGCCAGTTGGCACCGGCTGTGTAGCGGTATATGCCGTTGTATTGGTACAGAGCCAACGTGTTGTATTTGCCCTTGTGCACAACCCAGAAATCAAAGACCATGATTGCGGCAATGGGGCCGAGGAAGATGGCGTAGGCCGACATGAAGTTGAGGAAGCTGCCGGCGCTCTCGAGAATCTTCCAGGGAACCAGGGCCCAGCAAAGGACTGCGCAGAGGAGTTGGCCGCGGCGGATGTTGACATATTGCGGAAATAGGGCCGTCAGGTCGTTTGCGGCGGAGAGCGAATTGGCGGATATGTTGACACCCAGGGCGGCGAGGGCAAAGCTGAAAGCGGCGAAGAAGCGACAGGCACGGTTGTCCCAGTGGGCAATGAGTGCCATGGGGTCCCAGTTGATTTCACCATACTTGACGGCGCCGGCAGAAGTGGCGGCGACACCGATAAAGGCGATGAAGGTGAAGACAATGGGAAGGAACGGCACGTAGATGCATTGCCATTTGACCGAGACACGGGAGTAGCGTGAAAAGTCAGACTTTCATATCAGTCAGCGGGGCGCTCTGTGTTTGGGCAAATTGTTTCATGCAACGTGTGGCTTACCTGGTTGACCGAAAGTGTGGCGTAATTTCCGATAACGGCCGTCAAAGACGACAGAAAGCCCCACGAGTAAGCACTGCCTTTCAATGTAGCGGTTTGCTTCCACATGTCGCCGCCGCCGTTGGTCGAGACAAAGGACCAGATCAGAATGGCGATCCATGCAATAGGCACAATGATACTCTTGGCCATGAAGAGCCATCTCAATTGGTTGGGGTGCATGACCAAAAAGGGCAAGCTGCCGAGCCAGAAGAGAAAGAAACTGATCATGGTGGCCGTGTCGATGCCCTGGCTCTTTGGAATGTCGTTCTTCATGGTCAGGAAAGAGGGCCAGATGGCGCCAATCATGACACGGACGGCATTTGCGCCATTCATGTTCTGGATGGCGAACCAGAAGACGGCGAGAATGGCGCGAGAGATGATGGCGATGTACGAACCCCAGAAGCCCCACGAGGCGCGGGCAATGACGGGGAAAGGGACATGGTGCAGAACGCCAATGGCACCGTTAAGGGCAATGACAAAGGATATGATGAAGAAGGCGAGGGCAACAATGCCGAGAGATTCGCGCCAGGTCAGGCCTATAGCTCTGGTCAGACGGGAGCGGGTGCTAGTGGAGGGCGGGGAGCGTACCGATGGCAATGATGCTGGAGGCGAATTGCCATGTTGCCGCGCTAGACGGGCGTTAGCAGTAGCATGGGCCGGGAGATTGGAGGAATGCTTGCTTGAAAGCGTCCGAGATCCAATACGAGATGAAGCTCGTCCCACCCCACTTTCGGGCGTGTCTCGGCACAGGGTCCAAGTCTCTGTTTGTCCTGTCGTGTGTCGGTCAGCGGTTGGAGTTGGAGTGGTGAAAGGGAGCCTTACCAGCGAGCATTGCCCTCGGCAAAGGCACTCTGCGTCTGCTCGACGCGGAGGGTCCAATGCGGCTTCTCGATGAAGGGCATGGCGAAGGGCGTGGCGTAGCGTACCCGGTGATGGTGGTGCACTGTGGGGAGGGGGGATCAAGTGGCCGCGCCCGCCTTGCCGCGTGAAGGCGGCGACCCGCTCCCTTTTATACATGGTGTTGGTGCAGGCTGGGCACAGATGTACGCACGTTTTCCCGTTACGTGCATATCAGAGCCAAAGTATGATAAGATAAGCGGAGACATTGTCTGGCTGGCTGGCGAGTTGGAGTTGGAGGTGGAGGCGGAGGTGGAGGCGTGAATACGGGCGGTGCGAAGGGGTTCGACGACTAGGCCCAAGTCATGGTTCGTAGACACTTGGGGCGGCAGGCGCTGGCGGCCCAATTGACCGCGTCGGTCGCGCCTGCCATTCGCCCGCCGTGGGTGTTGCAGATAAGCATACCCGGTCGGGGCTGGCGCCGTCCCGTTTGGGTGGCGTCTCGGCTCCAGAACACCCCGGACACGCCATCCCCACGCCGCCTGACACACCTCCACTCGCATTTCCCATCCTCACCGTAGCCGCGTCAACGGCCTTTTCACCGTCGCTTCTACACTGCACACATGCTTTGGCTGCTGCCCGTGTTTCTTTTTTTTCTTTGCTCGCTACGTATGCTGCTCGACAGGCGCCTTGCTCGCCCGCCACTACACCTACGTGTCCATTCATTCACTCCTCCATCCCGCACCGTCGCTGTCTAGACATACGCCAACGTGTGGTCGTCCCGCAGAGTCGCGTTCACCCCAAGCGACGCCTCGCCGCCAGCCACTGACGACCCGCTGACGACTAGCTCACCAACAATCTGCTCGTCCGTCGTCTTGAGCTGCGCCGTGTCCTTGACCTTGATCTCGACACAGCTCAGCGGAATGCCAAAGTGGCTATGCTTGTTCGACCCTGTCTCGCCTGTGCGGTAGTCGTAAATGTTCGTCTGTGCCACGGCTCCAGCTACCTTGGCGCTAGTCAGGGCGTACACTACACGGGCCTTGGTGTAGATGCGAAGGTCGGACAGATCCTCCGAGCTCAGCGGGGGGGTGTTCAAGCCCTGTCGCTCAGAAACAAACATTAGACGCAGCCTGCCCGGTGTCGTGCCAATGTCGGCGCGGACGGGCGGGTTCAGCTTGCCAAGCACGTTGTCAGTAGGCAAGCGGCCGGCCGCTAGCATGCGAGACTCGAGGTAGTGCGCCAGTTTCTGCAGGCCGCCCGTCACAGAGCTCTTGGTGGTACTGTGCAGCTTGGCGGCCGTCTCGGCAGACACGACAGTAACAGTGGGCGCAATGGAGCGAGTGGCTAGCGTCAGATCCACGCCTGGGCCCGCTACAGACTGCACGACGACAGTGGCATGTGAAAACAGGGCAGCGAGCGTCAAGCACAGGCAGTACGAGTGGGTAAAGGCATCGACGGGGAGGAACGTGTCCGACGAGTTGAGACGGTGCACTGCTGGGAGAGACGTAATGAGCGCGCCCACGGCAGCAGCAAGGTTCTGTGCGTGTTAGACATGGCGTGATGCAAGGGCCTGCAAGGGCCTACCTGTTGGGTGAACTCGACAATTTCAGCAGAGCTTGCTCCCACCTCTTGCCAGAGGAAGACGACACCTGGGGGCGTCTCCGAAATCGAGGGAAGTGCGGCGCCTCCGTTCTTCTGGTCCTGGACGAGCTCGTGCCAGACAGACACATCGACCTTGCCGCCAATGCCCTCGGGCACCTCGCTCCAGTCCATGTGCCTGCTTGTCTTCTCCACGGTCCAGACGATGGAGCGAAGGCCTGGTACGGCTTGGCTGACATCTGCAAGAGGTACGGAGCCGGCCTCGGCGATCAGCGTGTCGGCGCCCGTCTGGACGAGAAACTCGGTCAGTGTTTGCTGCGGCTGGTTGTACGGGACCAGGATGGGCGTGAAGCCATAGAAGGCGCCGGCGAAGAGGGTGCTGAGGAACTCGAGGCTGTTGGGCAGGTAGACGGCCACGCGCTTTGCCCCGCGATCCTGCAGGTGTTTTCCAACCACAGCAATCTCCTTGGTAACATCATCAATCTTGTGCTCGGTGACGCCGTCCTTGCCGAAGACGGTCACAACATGTGCCGTGCCGCTGGATGTGGCGCCCTTATCGAGAGGAATCTCGCCCATCACACGTCGCCAGATGTCGCGGAGGTCGCCATCCTTGCCAGCAGAGTACATGGGAGCGCCCGGAGGCCGTACGGCAAGACCGGTACGCAGCGGGTCTAACGGAGGGTCAGTTGCTGGCACAGTGCGAGTCGGATAGACGTGGTGAGCATACAGCCATGGGGCGTCTCGGGCGACCTGAAGATGGCAGACTCGCCGGGGTGCCTCACATAGGCAGCCTGTGCCTGGCGTGCGAGCAGCAGCGGGTGCGTGTCGGCGTCAGCGTTGTCGTAGATGACCCAGCCCAGGAAGCCGACGATGGCCAGGGCGATGAGGGTGGAGTAGCCATTCCAGTCGGCCACGAGGCTGGAGATGGCGCCGTCGATCTGTTCTATGAGTCCGGCCATGGTGGGTGTTGGGGTTGCATTGGCATATGGAGAGAGAGAGAGTGTGTGTGAGTGTGAGTGTGTGAGACAAGGCGGCGGCATGCGGCGGGGGTGAGGGTGGCGGTGGGGAGGCCAGGGACCCCTGTCGAGGCTGCAGTGCCCGTCCGCCCATGCGCCAAAACATGGTGGTTGCTGTACAGACATACAGACAACAACCTTTACCTTGTCCATTCACTCATTCACCACCACGCCCCCCCCCCGCCAATATGCCCCTGTAGCTGTAGCTGTAGCCCCGCGTGCCCACCCCCCGAGGATCCCCAGACTAATTACTAACCCAGCAGCAGCAGCAGTGAAGCGTGCGTGACGTTGGCGCTCCGTCCTTTTGCGCTCCCCCCCCCCAAGCCCAAACAAACAACAGCCGCAGAGCTTCGAGTCCCGCCCGCCATGTCGCTCGCAAGAAACGCGCAGACGGCGACGCCCCCAATGCCTTCAACGCCATCCGCCCAGACTCAGCAGCAGCCCACGCCAAACGGGGCATGGCGACATCCGCAGTTTGACGAGATTGCGCGTCGCCAGTACGCTACCGTATTCGACGAGCGCAACGTCCGAGCCATCGTGCTCAATTCGGGCCTGCTGTTTCTCTCGATATACGGTCGCGGTGTCACGGAAAAGGTGAAGCTGCTCGAGTACGCAGCGTGAGTAGGGTCGGTCCCAGCAGCACGCGATGCGACGGCTAACACGACACCAGGACTCCGATCCATGCCCTGGCCAGAGCAGTGCCCTTCAGTGCATGGGCCATAGTGCTTGTCCGCCTCGTCTTCGCCGCCAACATAGTCATCGCCTTCCTCCCCCTCGTCCGCCGCTACTACCCCGACGACATCGCCGACATACCGCTTACGCCCTCGCAGCGCGCGTCCATGGGCCTCAAGACCGACGTCCATGCACCGCCGACCCCGGGCTCTGCCTATGCCTCGCCAAACTACGTTACCCCGCCGCGCTATCAGCGTTCGACGCCGCGCAGCAACAGCTTCAGCAACCCCGACTATGGTTCTCCTCTCAACGGCAGCCCGCGCCCCAACCTGGGAAGGTCGACTTCTTCAAACTCGCCTTTTAGTCTCAGTGGGTCGGCGACCCAGCGGCTGCACTATGGAAACTCGATGAGCAGCAGTTTGTTTGGCGATAGTACTAGTAGTGCGACACCAGGCACCCCTACACCATCGACAGGCAAGGCCAGCGTGGGGTTGAACAATAAGTGGCTGTACGAGAAGCGAAGGGACAGCCCCAAGAGCAACCTCTTCTTGTGAGGCGGTAAAATAATGGCACCGGGTGAACGGAGAAGAAGGATACGTCATGTGTGGGAAGAAACATGGACGCTGTATACCCAGATATATTGCGCAGGCGTTTGGAACGGTTTGTCTTAGTTAGCGTAGCTTCGAGGTATCACAAATTATCCCGCTCGCGTACCATGAACAGAGAGGGGAAATCTTTTTTTACAATGCCGGCGCCTCGGTAGCCGTCTTTTGCGTCGTCCTCGGCTTGCCATAGCTTTTGTATGTGTACATCTAATCACCGTACGGCGACTTGCTCTCCTCCCTACTCCTCCCCTGTCCCCATGCTACGAGAAGCGATCGCCCTTCCGACTCCGATACACATCACTCGCCTCGTACTTGCTCTTCTCGCCCACCCGCTGCCCCTCATTCTCCGGCGCATGTCGCGTAGGCGCCGGATCCTGACTCGCCTGCACGCTTGGATTTGCCTCTCCGCCTCCATTCCCATTCCCGCTCGCACTCCCTCCCTGTTCGCTGCGCAACCGGCCCACCTCGCTCGTGATGCTCTGCGGCGCCGCCTGCGCGGACCCTGGTCTCGCGCTCGGATTCAGCGGCGTGGTATTCGACGACGACGACGACATTTGCAGTCCATGTTCCATTTCGTAGATTCGGGCGCGCTTTTGCCGGTCCAGCTCGGCTTTGTGCGCGCGGTCTGCGTTGATGCTGCGTTTGGCGAAGAAGTAGGCGCCGCCGCCCGCGACGATGAGCGTTGCCCAGCCGTAGCTGTTGTGTGGGAAGAGGGTTTGTCAGCGATTGTTGTTGTGCATAGCGGCGATTCCGAAGCGCGAGTGCAGGGTAGCTAGATGTGTGTGTGTGTGTGTGTAGGTGACGTACTATACTGATTTGACCTGCGATTGACCGTCTTAGTTACTCCTGTCTTCTTTTGACTTATTTCCACGAGGACAGGGCTGTGCTTACCGTGTTCATTTTGGCGAGCTACCGGTTGTGTGTGTGCTGAGCAAAGGACAATTGCGGGTAGCCGAGCTGGGATGCCACAGCTTGCGAGTTTTGTTTGCCGTCCATGTTGAAAGTGGTCTGATTGTTGTAGGGCTGGCGGCGATAGTTCGGCGTTTACCACTCAACCCCCACACTTGTTTCGCGGGGGTACGTACTGTAGCCCTTCTTTCTCCTTTCTCTCTTGTGGCTTGACGCCTTTTCATCGCGCCTCTGCTACGGACATGCGCCACTCGGACAGCTGTTTGTGCATCTTTATACTGATATTGGCGAATTGGACGTTTCCACTCTGCGCATACGGGAGGCTACTTGATTAACAGGTATACATTTTCTACGACTGGTACTAACTAAGCCATCGTCTGAAAACTCCTTCTCTCTCGACTTCATACCACTCTGCAATGCACATTGTATGCTCAAGCACACAGCGCTATGAATTTGACTTTTACATTTCAACCCCCAAACGCGATACATTGCCCTACTTATCATGCTACCAGTTACCCATACTCACTTCAAACTTTCTAACCACGAGCAGTCACCACCAACGGAAATAAGCCGTATATCGGCTTCTTGGCATAGAGGATTCGAGCGCAGTCTATCTCCCACTGCAACTGGTACACCACCCAATCCTTTGTTATGCGATAACCAGTCGAGTCCTGAAACGCCGCGCCAGAATGCGAGGCGGCTCCGCTATCAACTCCGCTCGTGAGATACAGCATGAGCAACGTCTGAATTGACTGCTTTTTTCAAACTCTATTCGAGAGATGCAGCGGATTGGTGGTATATTTCTAGTTGGCTTGATGAGTCAGATGCGACGATTCGTGCTCGTCTGTCGCATTGGATTCCGCGACATCATGAAGTTGATGTACCCCCGCGGCTAGAATGTAGGTATGGGCAATTTTGCCGAGGGATTGATATGCGACGCCCGGGAGATGCACCACTATCGCCTGTGAGAATACTTGAAAGAAAATCGACAGGAACAGTGAAGTATCTCTACTCAAACCCCGCACTGCTTGATCACCAGAAGAGCAGCCTGATATACACCAATTTCATCCAGATGCCTCGAAGAAGTTGGAATAGTCGCAACTCCCATTCGTCATGTCGGCCACAAACACATATGCAGCGCCTCTCCGTGGAAGTCGATCCTGTACACTATTCGGATGCCTCCGAGGTGAAGGAGGTTGTAGTATGCACTATCCGAACCATCGGCAAATGACCTGTATCTTGGTCAAACACGAGACAGCGTTTCAGCAACGGTGGTGTATGGCAATCGCATGGCAATCTTAGGCTGCACAAAAAGTGCTCGACAACTGCCGAGTTACAACGCTCATAGCTGTGAATATTTCCGTTATGCCCGCTTTCCTCCGAGGCTGGCTCAGATGATTTCCAATCATACCGTACCCCATCGCATTGTGTCGCTCCGCGCTGACCCACTCGATAGGAGAAGTGTTAGACTTGTCAAAGAATATGCCAGGCCATGATTGAAAGGGGACCAGGCTGATTTCTAGCAGTCTTTGGCGAGACCCACCGCGGCGCTGCTACTTACTCCAACCGGTGGCCCCACCACCATGTAACGGGAGCGACCCGCTTTGCACGGCGCCAGATCTCAAAAAACCAGCTCCCCGAAGCAAATTCCCACCTCTCAAAAGTCCTATTCGCCCTCGCTGTCGCGTAAACGCCCGTGCGCCGTTTCCGACATTCAGGGCCATGACGGGCGACGTCGGCTGCCACCAGCCGTCATGTTTCGCCGTGGCGTGCTACTCTTCGATTCGAAACTTGACATTTCGGCCATCGAAACCTCTCGCGCCTCATCATTGCCATCCTTTGATAGAACAGAGCAGGCGACTCTGATTCAGCAAGCGCCACATGGTTGCCAGCATGCATACCGTACTAGTTCTCGAAGTTTGAAGCCAGTGGAGCCGCCTCATCGCAGCGCTTAAACGCCTATGACAGGCTAGGCAGCTCCGCCGCGGATCCTCTACAAGCAATCGTGAGGTTTGCTGAGGCTTGCTTGTTGTTGTCTTGGCTGTCTCCCGTACTCCATTTTTTCCTCGCCAAGAGCTGACTGAGGCGCCCGGCGGAACAATTGCATGCAATTCTTCCCCTGGCCTATACCAGAGCACGTCTCATGGGCGTGGAGACCGCCGCGGCTCGCGAGCAGGTCAATTGCCTTGTGGATGGCCTCTTTGGCCGCTCTGTGAAGTATATATCTGGTCATGAATTCTGCAGTTAGTGATCATCTCATCACCAACCAACCTTCACTTCTTCGCAGCTCGACGCTATCGTCTTTCTTTCTTTTCCTTTCTATTCTACTCCAGCGCTGAGCGCCAACTTGATTCAACTCCATCATTATGTATTACTCGACTCCTCTTGCGCTTGCCGCTCTATTTACCACTGCACATTCGCACGCAGTCCTCTTGCAAGCTGTCGGAGACTCTGGTTCCAGCCAAGGCTTCTTGGGTATGTTGACCTCATAGCACCAGGCCTTCGAATATGATCTAACACTGATTCAGTTGACCCTGCCATTGCCCGTAATTGCACTACCATCTCTCCTTGCCAGCAGGATGCTACTATCATTCGTAATGAGGAGATTTCCCAAAACATTGTCAATGCATGTGGCAGGACCGAGATTAATGGCAACATTGACATTGGCGAGCAAACCGAGAACGAGCTAGCAGCTGGCCGCATGACCAAGGTCTCTGCCGGCTCCACAATAGCAGTCACTATCCACCAAGTCAATGCCGATGGCGCTGGGCCGTTCGAGTGCGACATGGACGAGACTAGCAACGCCGTCACCACTTTCACGCCACTGAAGGTTTCCAACAACGTCCCCGGCTCTTTCGGTCTCTCCCAGGCCAAGGAGCAGGATTTCACCATCAACGTCCAGATGCCCCAAAAGTTCAACTGCCTCGGAGCGTCCACCGGAAACATTTGCACTATCCGCTGCCGCAACAATGCCATTGCTGGTCCCTTTGGTGGATGCTTCGCCGTCCAACAGACCGACGGCACTGGCCGTACCAACAAGAGTGCCGCTGGTAAGTTTTACTTTTCCTCTTCTCATCCACTAGCGCCAGCCCAACCCTACATGTATACTCACTGCCGCTAGCTGTCGACACCACTCAGACACTGGAGGGTATCTCTGCACAAATTCTCCAAAACAAAAAAGACCTCCCTGCCGCCATTGCGGCGAACCAGGCTGCTGGTGCTGCAGGCGGCAATGAGGGTGCCAGTGCCATTTCCGGTGCGTTTGACTGTTCATTCCACGTCGCAGAGATATCTGTTTGGACTGGTGGCTAACGTGTGTGATAGCTCTCGCTCCTGCTGCGACTCCAGCACCCAATGCTGGCAATGGCAATAATGGAAACAAGGGAAACCAGAACGGTAACAAGGGAAACAACGGGAACGCCAACCAGAACAATGGCAACAAAGGCAATGGGAACAACGCCAATGGCAACCAGAACGCCAACCAGGGCCAGGGTCAGGGCCAGAAGCAGCAAGGCCAGCAGGGCCAGCAAGCCCAAGGACAACAGGGTCAAGGCCAAGGACGCAACCAAGGCCAGGCACAGCAAGCCGGACAAGGCCGCGGCCAGAACCAAGGCAACCGTGCTGGCGCCCGACTCCGCCGCTTCAGCCTCAACTTCCTGAACTAAGCGAGCCTCCCCCTTTCCCCTTCCTCCCTCCTTCGCCCCCTGGTGGGCCCAAAGAGCCAGAACCCCCATTAGAACCCCCGCTCTTACTTCCGCCACCCCACCCATTCCCATACATACATACGCAAATAAAGTTGGTGCTCAAAACGAAAAAGCGCTCGGAGAATCCATTAAACCATAATCCAAAAAAAACACAAAGGCTGGTCTGGTATCCATAACCCCCCCTCCCTTATCCTTTTCATCCGGTTTTTTTTGTTCTTTTTACATTTGTACAACAGACTGTGTATATACATAGCTTTTAGGTTTTGATACTGCATGTATGGTTTAGAGAGATGCAGATGCCATATGTATGCGAGAGTAAGGAGAGGATAGAATGTATATGTTTGCCTCTTCATTTTGTAGTTCTTTCTTCTGGGCTTGATATGTGATGACATGTGATAGATGCTAGAAGGTAGATGATGAGATGGGGGAAAGGGAAAACGCTTGGATGTAGGTTTGTAGTTTGAACGAGATAGCTTGTTGAGTGATATGGTTGTGTGGTTGATTACAAGGGCTGGATGACGAGGGGTTTACTACTTACATATTAGTAGTTGATCAGATGTTTTGGCACTTTGTTGTTGCGAAATATCGAGAAGAATTATGATATCTTATACAGTACTGGATCGAGATAAGATAGTATCTATTCACCACACGCGTATCTAATGCATGTCTAAGTAATCAAACATCATATCGTGGATACATACACACTCTCTACATCCTGCCGTCTCTCTCTCTCCGTTCCCTCGTATTCTTCAAACAGGCGTTTCTCTCTATCACGCAGCCATCCTCCCAACTACCCAAATCACCATCTCTATTCTCGCATCTAGAAAAAAACACAGTAAGAAGCGCCACTTACCACCTTTCACCTTGACCTTAGCCTCAGAACGGAGAAAAAAAATCGTTCGAAGAACCCTGAGCGAAAAGAGCCCAAGCACGCTGTCCCCTTCGTGGATCGAACACGATACCTCCAGATTAATCACAAAACGACCGAATTCTCGACTTCAGTCTGGCGCTCTCCCAATTGAGCTAAGGAGACAATTTTTCTTGTTGTTGCGATGACGTAATCTGCAGCTGGACACATTACATTTTGCATCTCATGGTCTCTCTGTCTCTGTCTGTTTTCCAGCAGAAGTGTACTTGGGATGGAAGAGGTAGGTGGAGAAGGTGGAGTAGGGATCACGCTTGTTATTGTGGTTGTGTTCGCATGTGTGTGCCGTTGTGCTCGCTAAACACGGGATAAGTACTTCAGGGACTTGGTTGAACTCCACTTTAGCGTGCGACGGGCTCGTCTCGTCTCGTCTCGTTCCGTGCCGGGTGCTGACGGCGCTAAGGTCGATTTATTTATAGTTACTATTGTGAGCTGCGCTGCTGGTGAGGACTTGGAATCGCTCGTTTGGAGGGTGGCGGTCGTGCAGGGTGCGAGTGGAGGCTCGTTGAGGAGCGCTGTTGTGCAGCAGCCGTGCGTGAACTCGGGTTGCTTTATATTGCGTGTAGCGGCTATTCCTCATAGTCAGTATGGGGTTGTTTGCTGTTTTTCGGGTGTTTGTTTGTAAATAAATCATGTATGATGAACAATGTAGTAGGAATCGCGTCGGCGCTGGTATTGGGTACTTGATAAAGAGGGCGGCTGTATCGGATCGATGTCTGTTAAAGGATTGTAGTCGGTAGTGTTGTTTTGGATATGAGCGTGACCAGAAGAACCGGTAAGGTGGGAGATTAGGTGGTAGGTGGTATATTCTACCAGTGCGAGAGTGAGTGAGGTGGATAGCTTTGTATACTGTCTTTCATTGTGGGTGAGTTGCCATGGACGTATCCGCTGTGATGTGTTTGATACCACTCTCTTCTCTTTCATGGTTACAGAAATGGATTAACTTCTGTGCATGCCTGCATGAGCTTCCAAATCATCTTGTGCACTTGTTATGTTAGCGTTGCGATGACAATCTTCGACTCGAGACACCGCCTTGGGACGTTAACGCAACACACCACAGGTAGTATACTTCTCAGCTCCATTTGAAGATTAAGATCTAGAAAAGTTGTTTGGGAGCGGGCCTACCATGCACATACGATATCTCAATGACATGATGCATCCGAACAGGGGTTTGAGATGTGCACTCGCAGACGCGCCTCGGATTACTCGATCCCCCTCTCTGCTCACAAACAATTCGAAGATGATTGCTCCGGAAGACACTGAACAGGTAAGCCGAGGGTGATGAAACCAAAAAGGCGTCATAGCCCATGACTGCTGACTGATCCCCACCTTGCCGTGGGCCAATCACAGGGCAGCCAATTCTGCTGACACGGTAAGCTTACCCGTGTTGCTGACCACGCAATGAGTGGTGGATATGTCGTGAGTACCGCGCTATTCTCCGCTGACCAGGCCCAAATGCATGGGGAGCGGAATATCTCCCGGCCGCGTAGATTCGGACTCGCGCGCACTCGCACGACAGTGGTGTGATCCGGCCGTATGGAACAGGGCGAGAGCGCGTCTGATTCGGCCTGCCAGCACGGCACATGTAGCTCGCACCGCACGAGCAAAAGTAGTCGTGGGTTGTAAAAAGACTAGGAGTCCCCCCCCCCGGTTACTGACTTTACATCTTCCTTCTTCCGCCCTCCTAGTCTCTTCTTCTGCCCCAAGGCTGCCTTTAGTTTTCTTGGCCTTACAAACCCGTTTATAATCAAGCCCGGAAGCGACCGCGCAGGTGCCATAAGCTTTGCAGCACAACGCCTTGAAAAGCCGCTCATCCCCGTCACCAAACATACCTTCAGGAACAGGTACGTCACTCTGCGTTACCCCCATACCTTTGTTGATGCAGCCGCGGTTGTGGTAAGGGTGAGTACCCGTGATCCTTGCTGGACCGCCATAAGGCGCACAGCGCCGGGCCATGCAGACAGCCAGGCACCCCAATCACCACTGCATCTCCAGCCTCCCTCCCTACTTTGCCGTCGCTGACTTTGTGTTGAAAGAAACGCAACATCGTCTCGGAAAAAGAGAGCCACACGACCCCACATTCCGTCCAAAGGTTGCCCAGCCTCCACATTCCGCCCGCAGCCAGCTAGCTACACTGCCCCACATATTCCGCTCTCCGAAGCAAGTCAGCAACCAAGCAGCCAAGCACGCACGCCGCCACAGCAGCCATCCCATCACGACTACAATACTTGGTTTTAAAGTCTCACGCTCGCCGGAACCAATACCACTGTCTGCATCTACGGGCGAACCATCCCCAAAACTAAACCACCACACCACTACCACATACACACTACATACTAGCTCAGAAATGGCCCTCTCAACACACACCATGGCGCACATCCGCCGCTACTCGACGCGCATCCCTCACGATCCCCACTACCGCCTCAAAGCCACCCTCGCAACCAGCTACGTAGTCTCTGCCCTGGCCCTGCCCTTTGTCCCGCCGCTGCTCGAGACGAGGAGGACAAGGGCCGATGGAAGTTACATGACAAAGTATGTTATCTGCACCACAGGGGACTCCGCATCAATTACCGGATTGGCAATGGAGTGCTAACGAGTGTTGTAGGGAGAGTGCGTATTGCTCGTCGCAGTACCTTGGTTGTCCCAAATGAGCTTCTGGGCTACTACTAAGTAGTGAGTGTTTACCCGAACCCGGCTTTCTCCAAACCCAAGTAAGCTAATCTAATGCCGCAGTTTTTCCTTTGTTGTATCCTTTCCATGATGATAGGACTAGGATGCGGGCATTTAACATACTTGGCGTTGGTTTTACCTTTTCTTTCTTCACTTGACACCGATAAGATACTCAGGAAACGGCATGGCGAGGGGGGGGGGGGCTTTCTGCATCAGAAGCCCCATCATCACAACGTATACCCATAGATCATGTCACCTTAATGCTGTAAATTTGGTGCGAGCAACTCATGACACCATCCACATGAATCACGTACATATCGACCATAAACACTATACTACCGCAATTTCGCCGAAGCGTAACGTTTCGATACCCTCCCTCACCCTTGATGAAAATTCTGAGCTTCTTGTAATTCCACTGCATCATGCATCACTTCTTCCTCGTCTTCGTCCTCGCTAGCCGTTTCCCACATGGTCACATAAAACTCTCCGTTGTGCTCGAAGAACTGCATGCCCTCATCGTCCATAAAGTCATCTTCTTCATCAAGCTCCATGTCGAGCTCCATATCGTCTTCTTCGTCCAGGTCATCCACTTCGAATTCATCTTCGCTGTCAACTAGCGCCTCTTCTTCCTCGTCCGTGTCGAACATCTCCATAAAGGCCAGCCGTCGATTGGGACGTACAAACTTATGCCTCAGGAGACGCAAACCACGCCGAGTCTGGTTTGTTAGTCTGGTAATGTCACCATCTCCCAGTTGGTCCGTCTCAGGGGGCGCTTCGTCGAGTTTTGCTGTCCTCTCTATGGATGGCGCATCTTCTCCGTTGTCTATGTGCCGATGGAAGCCGACCGCCCTAGCATCGTACACACAGTGAACTACTGGAACCCGTTCGTTGTGGAGATATGGGGGTATCAGGTTGGGACTTTTGTGCAGCTCTATCATCATCCGGAGATTGATGCCAGCCTGGAACAGCCTGTATGCTTTTGCATGGCGATTGCGAAGAGCCTCAGGGCTACAGATGTACCTTGGTTCAGACAAATCAAGCCTATATGCCGCGTAGAGCAAGTCAGTGGGCTTTCTTGCCAGAAGTGATGGCGTCCTAACAAAGGAGCAGATTTGGAGACTTACCGGATATACGAGGACTGCATCAGTTCGAGGGTTTCGAGCGACGGGAGCGCGGCGTAACGGTCAAAGTCCGGAGGGTGATCCCAAAAGTCCACAGGAACATCCCAATGCCGGCGAATCCGGAGTGTTTCTAGCTTAGGCGGAGCCAGGTCGCGGTTCATGATGATTCCCTGGTGCAGAAACGAGGTAGTATCACACTCCATATATTTCAAGGCGTGAAAGTGTCGCATGCCATCTCCAGTCGGCCGGATGCTACGGAGAATGTGCGGGCTTGTATCTAGATGCCATCCAGGGTCGAGATGTGTCAGGCTCTCAAGAGAATGCTCAACGGCCGATAGAGCCTTCAGTGACGCGCTTGCATTTCTAGACAAGAGAGGTTTAGCACCTCGCGACCGGTTGACGTTGAAAACATTCTCGCCAAGCGTTAGCGACCTGAGCCGTGCTGGTGTGCGCAGGATACTCAGCAGGCTCTTGGGCTGGAGCTCGCACTCGTCAAAGTACAGTGCAGTCAAGGGGGTCTTGCCCACGTGTGAGGCAAGTTGCGGAATTTCTGCATCTGGAAATGCAACGCAAGAGATGTGTAGGTGCCGAAGGGTAGGGTGCTGAAAGAGACAGTGAAAACCATTGAAATCCCAAAAGTCCGTGTCAGCGCCGTGTGAATGAATGGTCAAACGCTCCAACAAAGCCAGCCCCACGGTCCGCTCGATGTCTTTTCCTAGACGCCGCTGCGCCAGAATCATTTCTGCTTCCCTGGGACCCTCTGTGCATGCAGTGTCAAGGGCGCGGCGGAAGCGCTGCATATCACCCTCTACCCAGGCCTCGCCGCCAGCGCCTTCCCAATGAAAATTGTCGTATGGGCTCTCAATATGCCAATCCCGCAGGTTGACCATGTCGGCGACGCATTCATTGAACGTGGCCCTCAGCTCGTCGCTATCTTTCAAATCGCCCGGTTGGTACTGGTACAAGATTTTTAGGGTTTGGACGGCGCGCACACGCTGGCGCCGCAGCGTAAAGGCCGAGATAATGGCGTGAAGGTTCTTTACCGAGAGAAGTTCGACCGTCTTGTAAAGCCGCTCCTCGGCCAGATGCTGCATGGCCCGACATGTCTGCGCGAGCGAACACAGCGCTTTGTTGTTGTCTTCCAGGTGGTCGAGTACGAGGAGGGCCAGCTCGTTGGGTAGCGTCGAGCTGGCGCTGCTCAATAAAGCTGAAGTCATAATGTTAGAGGTATTGCGGGGATATAGGGGCCAATCCCGCTATGTAGTCTTGGTGAGTTTGCTGCCTAGAAGGATGTGTAAAAGATGCTTGTAGCCCTCGTTAGCAGGCGACTGAAGAAGAGTTCGGCAATGTAGGCCCACAAAGTCATAAAATTTGCATTGAGCAGGCGGCCGTGTTTCAGTCTGTTTCTAGTCGAGCCGGAAAAGACCCGTTGCCGCTGCGGGCCAGAGAGTGTGAAGAACGCGGTTTTGGCTGGCGCTATCGAAATTATGCAGGGACGAGCGAGCAATCAAGGGCCGGCCGCGGGGTTCCATCGAGGGGCACTGGCCAATGACGTCGACGCCCCCTCGAAATAGTCTATGCCGTTTGGGGAAACCAGCCCTCACGTGCACCTACACGTGCCCTCGACCTTCACCCTGCAACACTGAAGCGGCGGCATATATCAACACCCAACGCGGCTGTACACACGCTACTGTGATAATAACAGCAACGCAGATTTCTGGCAAATGATGACTAGGTGCCGTATAGATGTATCAACATGGCTCAACATTGCAAGCGGTGACGGCACAAACACCGTCATACACGCTCCGTCATGCAACATTGTACTTGATCACCGCTCACTCTTACGACTTTAGTGCTTCCGCCTTCACCTACACTTACCGCTGAATGGCCGTTACCAGCTATAACCAAAAGCCCAACACCACACTCCGCCAAGCACAATGGATCTCGACGCATCCAGCACAAGCGCAGGAAAAAAACGAGTAGCAGAAGATATCACAGCCCCGATAGGCTTCCAGTCTGCAGCTCCCGCCCATGACACCCCGCCTCGCATCCTCCGCCGTCACCACCACCGCCGCCGCAACATCGCCGCCAAAATATGGGGCCCCGACATCCCTTCCTCACCTTACACCACGCCACCTAACAGAGCCCGCACAGCCAAGCAGCCCTTCAACATCTACAAAGCCATTCTCCGCCACAACAACCTCTTCTTCCAATTCGCGCTCCGCCTCCCCTATCCCACAATCATCGATCTCTACGCCATCGACAAAGAATTCCACTACCGCCTCAACAAATACAGCGTCTCCCTCATCCACGACTATGCACGCTACCACGCCCCGCTCGCCGGCCACATCTTCAGCTGGACGCTGTACCCGCGCCTCTGCATCTCGGATCCCATGCTGCGCCCCATGGACGACCGGCAGTGGCTCGCGCGCGACGTGCCCGGGTTCCGGTGGCTCGGCATGATTCTGTGGCGGCAACGCATTGTACGCAGCATCCTGACGATCCTGAGCATGGAGGGCCACCGGGTGCCCGCAGTGTGCGAAGCCGCGCTGATGAAATTCTGGGTGCTGATGGAGTCGCAGACGTCGCAGCTGCGCCTGTCGTTTCTGCGTGACAAGGCCATCTGGAGCGACGCGGATATCATCGCGTTCCAGCTTTTCCTCGTCAAGCTCGACATGCGTTTCTCGGACCCTGTGCTGGGAAACGGCGCGTGCATGCTGGGAGCTATGCTGCTCAGCCAGCGCAGTCTGAGTGCTCTGTGGAGAGTGCTGAGTGGCAAGGCTAAACTGGATTATGATAACACGGCCGAGATCTTGATCAATACGTACTGCATTGAGGATCTGGATACCGAAGCGCAACCCTGGCTGGAGGATATGGATGATGGCGAGGACCGTGACGGCCAGGGACATGGTGTCTTGGCGCGGGAGGGCTGGCGCCGTGATGGCGCAAAGATGCAGCATGCGGTTGACATGGTGATAACCGAGGGCGTGAGAAGAGGGCTGCATGTGCAACAGTACTATCTTGATTTTATGCTCTACGGCCATGTGGACCATGAGAGCGGCAAGAATGTGCCGGTGCCGACGCTACTGAAGGGAGACAAGAAGATCCAGCTTCCGAGGGAAGGATGGCCAGAAAGGGCGCTCAGAGACCAGACGACCAAGGCGCTTGACGTCCGTTTTGGAGTTTACAATCGCCGCATGGACTCGAACACACAACTATGAGCTGGTCTCAACAGCCGAGAGACCAAGTTCAATATATTCCATTGTACATGGGATATAATCACAAGACTTGAGAAAATGAACTAGCATCACAACTTCCATTTCTTAATTGAACAATCCCAGTTCAATCCTCTGCCTCCTTCAATGCTATATACTCATCGATAATGCCCACATAATCAGTCGGCATATATGCCTCAAACCTTTCCCGAAACCACGTCGCCTTCCTCTGACTCCGCACACCCACATCTCTCAGCAGCAAATCCACGTACGGCAAGCAGTCAAACGACAATTCTGGGAAGCGCGCGCCAAAGCTCCTGCTGTAGCGCCATCGCGTAAACTGCGTGTGCAGCACTGTCTCGTACATTGCGCGTGAGGCGATTTCGTCTTTCGTGCTGGCCTGCTCGCTGCGCAGCGAGGGGATGCGGTTGTCGAGGAACGCGGTGATCCAGAGTGCTTGTGTCTGTGCTAAGGTGGCTGTCGCGGGGCAGCGGTATGCGCCGGCGAAGGCAAGGGTGCGGCTCTGGAGGAAGGCTGGGGGCACCATGAAGCGGTAGAGGCGATACGGTTGGGGTGTGAGGTCATTGGTCCTGTCAGCGAGTAGTTCCGGGTTCCGTGGTGTAGGTTGCTCTTGTAATTTAGGACATGTTTGAAAGATTTGCGCGTCGGCACGGCCAATGTGTTCTTGTGCGGTGGGGGATGCATGACCTGGAAGGCCGAGCTCCTTGTCGGTTTGAAAGTCTAGCTGAGGAGTGTCTTTCCAGCCTGTTCCACAGATCAAGACGTCTGCTTCGACGACCTCGCCGGTTGAAAGGTGGACCGAGTGATGGGAAAGTTGCGAGATATCGGCAATGTGAACTCTGATCTTGCCACTGCGCACAAGCTCAAAAATATCATTCTTGTAGCTAAGAACACCACGGACGGAACCGACAAAGAACGACTCATTCCAGGGTTTGAGTTTGGCCGTCTCGGGATGAGTGTCGTAGCCATTGCGTGCCAAGTTTCCCTGCTGCATTTGGTTGAATACCGCATCTGAGATCTTCCTGCCCAACCAATGCTGGCTAAAGAAGTTATGCAAATAGGAGAAACCATCTTCCCAGATGCATGGACTGAGCCAGGTCATGACACGCGTCAGGAACAGCCGCTCCGGAATTATCTTGAAAGGCGTCACTCGACTGGGCATCATCCAGCAAGGACCGTGACCTGACTTTCGGATAATCCACTCGACTTGGACACCAGCCGAGGCGTAGGCATTGGCGATATCCCAGGAAAATTTGGCACCTCCGAGTAAAGCAATCTTCTTGTATGGCCCCAGGCCGTTTTCCACTCTAGCAAACTCGCTGGAATGATAGATCGGTGCACCGAAAGCCTCACTTCCAGGTAGCTTAGGCATTGAAGGTTGCGACGTCAATCCAGTCGCAACGACCAATTTTGTAGCTACGATTTGGTATTCCTTTTTAGTCGAATCTGTTTCATCCGAGACGGTCAACAGCCAGCCCGCTGATCCCTGGTCTACCGCTGACTTGACGCTGGTGTTGAGACGCATATGCTTAGCCAAATCGAACTTCTTAGCATAGCCAAGCCAGTATTCATTCACGTGCTCTCCCGGAATATGATCGTTCTCAGGGTCAAAATTCGTGGTATCCATGGGGAAGTCACTAAACTATGCACCAGTCAGTATCTGCACACAGCGCACTCCACACGAAACATGTGTATCTCAAATGTTTGGAAGTGGTTGTTGGTGTGAAGCCCCGGGTATAGCCTGTCCTTTGACCATACCCCTCCAATCGAGCTGGACTTGTCCAGCACAAAGATTGACGCATGGGGGTGGACATCGCGATACGTTTTAGTGGTGACAAGTCCATGTAAGCCTGCGCCAATGACGACCAAGTCAAATGTCTTAGGGTTAGCCATCGCGATCAACACTCAAAAGAGTCGAAGTTGCGGCGTTTGGCGGGCCATCCCCGCGGCGGACAAGGCGGAATAAGTATATCTCGCACAGACCCAGTAACGTGCAGGGTCAGTAAGCTGGGCAGATCAGTAAGCTGGGCACCCCACCAAACTTCGCGCGACGTTCTGCGCAATTGAGCCACAACAACGTATTAAAATAATATAAAATTAAGATATATGGTTTACTATTTAGCTCTGCATGAAGTCTAAGTATGTCCTTTAACGTGACACTTCGTGCACGTTGGCGGCGCGCGCCGACGTTGCTCACTAGCCTGGTTCTGGCTACCCCCCATAAGTAACCTTTCTGCCTCTGCCACAAGCTGCTGAGCCTGCTACACCTGGAGTACCCCACTAGAAGCAATATATTGACGCTGTTGATCTTGCTTTTGCCGCTAACGCTAGTTCTTTTTACGTAGCTTCTTATTCTCCTCTACAAGTATCGTTGCTAATTGCATTGTAAGCTAAGCGCTCTTAGCAAGCTAGCGTATCGCAACGCTTGTTGGACTCTCTAGCTG